CGGGCACTCCCTCTGCATCCTATCACAGCACCACTATGGTTCAATTGGCACCCCCGCATATTCTAGGTATGCAAGTGCAGTTAGCAAAACTCCCCTCTCCTGGGAGACCCTGTGTTGATTACAATCTTGCAGCACCCTGAGATGAAGGAGGGCCACTCATGCAGCTTATCTCTGAACTAAATCCACCCTTAGGCCACAAGTGGCTTTCAGAGAATCAATAAAAGTAGCCCAAGGATTCTAATCCACAGGGCTCAACTTGCCAGCCCCGCACCGTGCATGCACCAGACTGGCACTGCACATGCGTGCGGCGCTGGTGAACGGGGCGACCGGAGCGACCGGCTGAAATCTACTCGCCACGGGTGAGTAGAAACAGTGGTTTGTCAAGCCCTGCTAATCCAGATAAAGTTAGAGGCCACCTCACAAAAGAGGAATTAATTTTGAGAGTGCCAAGATGGTGCGGGACACCGCGCCACATTCTGGATGTCCGTAAGCCTCTGACTGCCTGAAGCTGGGAGTGGATGACAGGGACTAGATCACTGGATAATTGTCCTGTTCGGGTCATTCCCTCTGAAGCACCTGGCACAGGTCACCAGCGGGAGACAGGATCCTGGGTGAAATGGACCATTTCTCTGAGTCAGTCTGTCAGGTCTTCTAACCACAATCCCAGCAGCCAGTTTTCATGTTATTAGACTACCTATTAAAGAATCTGAGGTTTTATGGCTGTCCTCGCTTTTCCACCGCATCTTTTATAACACGCTCTCAAAGCACTTTATAAACATGAATGGAAACCTCGCACCAGCACAAGAGAGGGGTTTCATCCAGGATTGAACGGGAGCAGCTTTGAGAAGAAATTCCAGTTTAGGTTGGAGGCTGAACTCAGTATTGTAGACACACAAAACTGAAACACAGTTAGGTTTTCACAACCTTAAATTACTAGCTTGGGAGCCGGCTAGGACATGGAAGCCAACACTGCATATGGGGTGTAACCGCAATGGGAACACTGAAGAGTTATTCTTGAAACTAGATGGGTATACAAAAAAAAATGCAAAGTGTCCAATCTCTGGGCTCCAGAATCCAGGAAAAGGGAGGATGGAATTTGATCTCTCAGTGCCTGGCTCAAATAGAGAGAGGTGGTGTGGAATGCAATCAGAAGACACCCGTAAGATTAAAAAAGGAAAGTAAACCTGGGGGGGGGGTCTATCTGGTTTATGCACCTGACTGAGTGATGAACCAGAAAAACAAGCGAACTCTCGGTTCCTCAGCAATGTGAGCACTGAGACAGAGGAACAGTGCATCTAGAAACAGCCACAAGAGGAAAATGTACATTGGAGATCTGAGTAACACCCACAAAGGAAATGCTGCGGGAGTGCAGACTCCGATGGGTTGGTCAGTCCTGACAGTGACGTGGGTAAGAGCACAACAGGTCAGGATTAAAAGAGAAAGCCAGACCCAGGAAGAAGTGGTGGGAAGTCGCGTGAGCATGTGGCGAGACAGAGGATATGGCTCTGATCTCAGCACCATGAGGGAAAGGACACGCAGTGCTGACGTCAGTCCTTTTTCTTGTGTTTAATCCTATCCAGCATCTACTATGAAGAGTGCTCAGGGACCTTTAACAGCCACAGGTGTTTAGGACAGGCACAGCTGGAAAATGGCACCACCAGCAGCACAGCACAGGTTAGCACCAGGCTGAACATCGATTTGGTACCAGCTCAGGGCAGATGGCTCTCTCGGGGTTCACAGCACCAAGGCTCTCTCGGGGTTCTGCACCTGCAGAATCCTGGTGCTCTTTAGGGAGGTCTCACAAGCTCGAGCAACGCACAAGTTTCGGGGATCCCAATTAACTCGGAAAGGCAGGGGTCATTGTGGCCAGCTCAATGGAAAGCTTCTGCACAATGAACGACGACAGTAAACACATCTACAAGATGTTTGAATGTACATGGAATGGACCAGAAACCAGTGACTGCAATGCCGTTTTCCAGAGCAGGGCATACCACTGATCTGGAACAGCAGCCAGTTGTGGGTCATCAAAAATAAATGAGCATTTCCCTGAGTCACGGAGACAGAAGGGCTCAGAGGAAGACCACAAGAGTGACGAGAAATAAGGAAGACTTGCATATGAAGAGGTAATACGCTAGAACACACAACAATGCCTTGTATAGAGAAGGTGAATAGAGTGCTTATAATCCAAGAACAAAGGCCATACTGTTAAACTGAAAGGCAACAAGTATTAAAAAACCTCTTATTTTTACGCCACTCACTGCCACAAGACATCTTTGAGACAGAACTCAGCTTTCAATGAGACTGTAGATGTAAATGGTAATTAGACTGTAATTAGACAGTCCACAAGGGATAGAAACCCTTAGGCTAACTCATGGGGGCCAGAAAGAGGCTTCCTACCATGGTTAAGTTCTTCTATATTTGTCCACTAGACAGGTGGTACCCGCCACTGGCACAGACAGGATATGGACAAGGACGACTACTGGCTTCTTATGTTCTGCTGACCCATAATGACAGTTCTTATGCGTCAATCCAAATACTGACCAAGTTTACTCCTGTGCAGCTATTATAATCTGAGCAGGTCATAATGCAACTGATATGGCAACAAAAGCACTTCGTTTAGGACACTTCAGTATTTAAATTCCCTCCAACTTTCCAAAGAAGGGTAACACACAGTTAAGGAGCTAGACAGGTTTATGACGACAAAAGTAAAAGCATTGGTTAACGCCACAAGTCTTTGGTAGGGTGGAAATGCCAAAAAGGAAGAGATTATTTAGGCTGGTACCTAAATGACATGAAATTAAAGATAAATTCTGAGTTGAAATCCACACAAATGGTGGAGTGGTCTCCCAAAGCAAACAATGGCCGGGTCATTGCTGTGTTACTCAGGAGGGTGGACACACCACTAGCAGATAAAGCTTACCTGAGTCATCAGGGAGGCTGGCGTAGGCCCATAAGTTCTTTAACTATCTCCAATCTCATTTAAGGTGTTAGCAGCATTAATAGCTCAGCAACAGTAAGAAGCCTTGAACTGAAGCTATGATGCTTCAGGTTTGAAGAAGAGCTCTGAGCAGCTCAAAAGCCTGCCTCTTTCACCACAAGAAGTGGGACCAATAACTAATATTACCTTAACCACCTTGTCTCCCTGATGTGCTCACTCGCTCTTCTGACTACAAAAGAGCTGTAGTGCCAGCTAGTGGAAGAATCCATGAACATGCACGGCAGCCTCACAAAACTACCAGGAAAACTTAGCAAGCCCAGCCCAAGAAGTTCACTTGTCCTGCCTTCATCATGAAGACACTAATGAGATCCCACTAACCCCATCAGAAAGAAAATTTCTTTGCTCAAGACATGATGTGAATAATTTTTCAAGGCTGATTGAACTCCCCAGTCCAATGGACATAAACAGTGTTAAGACAGGAAAACCCTTGGGCAGCTGCATGAAGTGGTAGGTTTCACACTATGAAGACAGAGTCATAGTTAAAAAGAATATGAACTGCACGAGTACAGTGTGTTATCTGTGAGATCAGCTCTGGAAGTTTTCCTTTGGGACCAGCACCCTCGGTCTGATCAAATGACATGGTTAATACACCAAAAATTGAGAGGAAGGATTGGAAGGGGTAACATTTAAAGGCACCAATCATAGGAACTGAATATCCTCAGTTGGAATCAACAGGTCAGAAGGTAAGAGGTCACCTCTTGAAAACCACGGATTCTCATTCTAGCTTAGAAACCACAGTTGTCCAAGTGTCCTAGAGGTGTTTAAATCTCGGCTTGACAAAGCCCTGGCCAGGTTGATTTAGTTGGGATTGGTCCTGCCTAGAGCAGGGGGCTGGACTTGATGACCTTCTGAGGTCTCTTCCAGCTCTATGATTCTATGATTCCTCCTTAGATACTTTCGTGCTGGGAGGCTGGGGAGAAAGACAACCAACCATCTGATTTCCAGAAGAGGACAGTACTGCTGAGGACAGAGGTTCTTTAGTGCAGAGCTGAAGAATAGGAACTAGACTATGTGGACGTGTGGTCTATTCCATCCCACATCAGTTAAACTGCTGAATAGATTATGGCAAAGCTGGAAGAGAGGAGCTGTACCAAAGAGTTTCTTGGGCTACTGGGATTCTTTGGCCTTGGATAGGTTCTCTCACATACACATCTCTCCAGGGGGGAATCTCACAGGCCCTGCCCATTTCTTCAAGGGCCTGTTCAGTTCATGTAGTAGAGAAACTGCCTCTAACTGTGGCCTCCCAAGAGTCAAGTCCTCTAAAGGGAACGATCAGCCCCTTCGTTTGTAACAGCAGCTCTCAAACCTGTGGATTGGAATCCAAGGGGTTAACAAGCATCTCCTAGCTCAGATTGTCCCTTGAAGCAAACTTATTCCGTCTCTTGCAGTAGGATCTGCATGCCAAGACCTCTCCCATAACCCCCTCCGCAGACCTTTGTGGAGGACTCGTTACTAGAAGCAGGGTGATAAGAGCCAGAGAACCCTGACTCGGCAACTCTACTAACTGCCATCTTGGGCAGCACTAAAGAAGAAAGGACGGTGCAGTGGGCTGCTATGTGGAACAGGTATATGGGGAAGTGTTGGAGTGGAAGGAAAGGGCAGTCCTTCACTTAAGGTTCAACTGTAGTACCACGTGGACCTTCTAAAAGGCACGGTAAAGGTGTACAAATCAATCAAGGTGGATGCCACCTTCACATGAAGGCTTAAATCTTTATGCATGTGTGATGCCCAGAAAAGCTGCAGTCTTCAGAAGTGCACAGGAGACTTATGGAATCTCAGTGCTTAGAGTCAATGGCAATAGGTCTCTCTTAGACACTCTTTAGACACATTTCAACAAGCTGCTGGTTTTGGTGTCACCATTCCTGACCCTGCCCTTGCCCACGAAAGGCCAGCATTACAGAAGGCAAACTTCAAAAGAAACAGTCAGATGATTAAAAGCTGCACTGGTGAGAGAAACAAAATCACCACATCTCTGGGAAACGATGCGACCATGTCAACTCACCCCTATGGTTGATGCCATGTAATCTGCACACATTTCAGCAAAGTCCCTCTCAAGCACTCCATAATAAAGGCCATAGAACAAGAGGGAAACGCCAAAATCCATTGCATCTTCGGGTTTGATTCTGCAGTGAAAAAGGCAGAAGAACGTCAAATAAGCTCTTCAGTCAAACAAAGCCACTTTACGGAACATGTGCAAAGCTAGCTTGCTGTACAAACATAGTATGACAGGGTCAAAGGCCTCATCATCAATATTTCATGCTGTGCTAGCAACCTCATGGGCATGAACAAGTAAGTGTTCATAGTCTTGAAATATCCACCCAATGATGGCCATGTTAAAACCCTGGTAATTACAAGGTCCAACAGTTTCCATCTTCTAAACGCAGCAATATGCTTTAAGGTAACATCTCATGTTGGTGACTCTGCCTTGTTTAGAAGGAGGTGAGGCTAGATGATCATAAGTGGTCCCTTCTGGCCTTAGACTCTACAATCCTTAAGTTGCCCAACGTGCATGCAATCCATGCCCTTCACGGCTACCCTAGGACCACACCTCTCGCTTTTTCTAGTGGCAAGTTCTCAGGCAGTGTTTCATAGCTGGATTTAAGAGATAGTGACTTTAGTCGCAGTTGTAGGCACTCAACATCTCTCATCAAGAAGAGAGAAAAAGGTAGCCAGTCTCCTTGATCATCAAGGCTGGAGATAGGAACGTTGGCAAATAACTTTAGAACAAAGTAGAGACAAGTCACAGAGCCGAAGGGGGAAAATCAGCTCAGCTTAGTACAGCACAGATAGGGGGAAAACCAACCATCACGCAGCTCTAGATTGTGTCTGAGCCTTCATCCTGTTATAATCCTACAGTATCTCGGAGCTGGTTTTACAAGTAACACAGGATTCCTGTTTCCCAGATAAGCAGAGGATGAGCATTACCAGTACTGGGTATGAATATGCACAAGGAGGAGAAACTGGCAGGAGTTGGTGGTGTTAACACAGAAGGAACAGGAATAAAGGTGTCAGACACCTGAGCATCCTTGCTGAAAGTGGAGTTCTGGGCAGATGATATGTGGACCACTTTGAATGGTCCATGTGCTGGCACATCACTTCTGATCTAGAGCCAACACTTTGGCCTCCAACATTATTGATGACACGACTAGGTTTATATATGGCTCTACTTCCTAACCCAGTTTAAAAAGCTCCATAGCCAACTCCTGGCTCGACATAACTTTGATATTTTACCTCTTTGAAGGGAGATAAGCAGCAAAGATTTACTCACCTGAATAATAAGTTAAGACCAAACAGAGTGAACATTACAGCCATGTAGCCAACAATTCCAGTGGCATAGCTGATCTTGTATATCAGCAGAAACCATTTATAGACCAACCTGTAAAACAAAAGACCCCCCCGGATTTTACAGGTACTTTGAAGGAAGTGTCAGGGAACACACGGGGAAGTTTTAAGATGCTAATTACAGCAAGTTTATCACTTAGGACATTTCAGGTGCTCAGGTGAAAGGGAGCTAGTGGACTGCCCACTGGCCGGGGAGCCAGATTTTCAGAGTTTTAATCCAAGCTCGGACACTTGCTCTCCCATATGGAACGTCATAGCCGTGTCCTACGCTGGACATGGGTCCCACTTGTAGCCCTGCAGGGCTACAATCCACCAGGCTTTCCACCAGTCACTCAGATCAGTGGAGATTCTGGGGAAAATTAATATTTCAGTGACAGGCTGATTTTGTTTGAAGCTGATTCGCTTTCACCAATGTTAGAAGCACTCCTGAAAGAGATGGTTCATGGGCAGAAACCAAGTGAGACTGTTTAAGGTTTGCAATTGATGCGGACCCCTCACAGAATCACTCTCCACCACACGGTGGGAATATTGTGGGAGTTGGAAGCTGACCTGCAAAGCTGAAGCTCAGCAGTAGAGCTGTTGCCTGGGAATTGAATAAAGCCAGGTAACTGCTGCTCTCCCGCAGAGGCAGCCTGCACAAAAACGTGCCTGGCTTTGGGTTCACGTGGCTGATGAGGAGACGCTCATGCTAACCTGGGGGTTGTCTGCACAAGAGGTTTCCGAGTTGCTCTGAAAGTGACAAAGGCCGTGACAGCAGAGAAGAAGACCCAAATCACCAGGAATCGCCACCAGTGCAGCTTTGCTGTGAAATAAAGGGGAACAACCCACATCTGGAAGAGGGTCACCATCTGCAAGGACAAAACAAAAGGCATTTCAGCAAAGGCCAAATTCACACGCAGAGTGGCGCTGAATGGGACTCCACCAGTTCTGGCAGTCTCTCTGTTCCCCCACAGCCCTCTTAAAGAGGATACAGTCTTGGCTGTCCACCCCTGGAGCCTAAAATCTGAACTGCATATTATGCTCCCCAACATTTTTTCAGTGGATTGAGCCAGCGGAGTGATGAGACAGATTCTGGGCAGGTTTAAAGCAGAGGGAGAAGTCCTGGTTGCTCTGGTATTGTAATGAACTACTGGGCTTTGTGCAACTCTGCTAGAAGAGGCATATCCATATTTTTGTAAAAGGGCCACATTCATTTTCTTCTGTACAGCGTTTTAAGAGTTAAGAACATAAGAACGGCCATACGGGTCAGAGCAAAGGTCTATCTAGCCCAGTATCCTGTCTGCTGACAGTGGCCAATACCAGATGTTCCAGAGGGAGGGAACACAACAGGTAATCATCATGTGATCCCTCTCCTGTCATCCATTTTGAAACAAACAGAGGCTAGGGACACCATTCCTACCCATCCTGGCTAATAGATTCATGGAGGTTAGGTCCATCAATGGCTATCTAAGCTCTTTTTTGAACCCTGTTGAAGTCCTAGTCTTCACCACATCCTCTGGCAAGGAGTTCCACAGGTTGACTGTGTGCTGCGTGAAAAAAAAATTTAAACCTGCTACCTATTAATTTCATTTGGTGACCCCTAGTTCTTATATTGTGGGATAAGTAAATAACTTTTCCTTATTCAGTTTTTCCACACCACTCATGATTTTATAGACCTCTATCATATCCCTCCCCCCCCCCGTTAGTCTCCTTTTTTCTAAGAAGAAAAGTCCAAATCCTTTTAATCTCTCTAAGAAGAAAAGTCCAAATCCTTTTAATCTCTCTTCATATGGGACCCGTTCCAAACCCCTAATCATTTTTCTTGCCCTTTCCTGAACCTTTTCCAGTGTCAATATATCTTTTTTTAGATGAGGTGACCAGATCTGTACACAATATTCATGATGTGGGCGTACCATGGTTTTATACAGAGGAAATAAGATATTCTGTCTTATTCTCTATATCCTTTTTTTTTAATGATTCCCCACATTCTAATTGCTTGTTTGACTGCTGCTGCACACTGAATGGATATTTTATTTTGGGAGTTCATCCCGCAAACAGATGTACACATTAAACTTCAGTTACTCCATATAGACCCTTTTCTGACACGAAGTCTTTGCAACACAAATGGAATTGCTTGCAAAACCAGCACCCATGGGAAACAAGGCTCTCTTGCCGCACTGTTAATAGGCATCACGAGGCTTGGAAGAATGGAGAGTGCGGAGAATCCCGTTCACGTATAGAACGGTAATCCCTTGCATACAATCTGATGCACCAGGATTGCCGACACTGATTTTGCTGAGTGACCAAGAGGCTTGAGAGGAATCAGCAAACGGAGCAATCGGCCAAGCATCTGTGAGCATTCAAATCACAACTGAGGTCAGCGACCAGGAAATCCAGCTTCTCCTCAAATAGTCGGAGTTATTCTGAGTAATGACAATGGTAAATCCGACTTCCATTGACACTGTTTTGAGTAAGACCAGGTGTGAAATCAGTTTGTTCCATAGGCTCCTCCTGGGCTAACACAACTTGGTATAAACTTCTTAACCAGGAGTTACACCCTCCACACTAATAAGGAAATTGTATTCTGTGGCCTAAGTCCTGCATTCAGTTCCAATGCGCACACTGTTACGGTTACTTCTGCATCACAGGGCTGTCCGAGGAGGACAATAGAACTGGGTTACATAGCTAAACGCCGGCCCCGTTCAACACCTGCAGCCAGAGGGAGGGAAATGCTTACGTTGTAGGAGCGAGGATGCCTCTGTTTCCACTGTACCAAGAGGAGCTGTGCAACCACTAGCGTGGCAATGAGGATGAGGACCATTTCGGCATGCATGGCCTCGTGGCCGTGATGCTTGGCGTGCATTCGCGCGTGCTCGACCCTGAAACGAGAACAAGGCACGTCAAGTCTGGAGTACACAGGGTGGGATCAGCAAGAACCCGGTATACAGAGCCGTGTGGCAGGGTTGGAGGAAAGAGTCTGTGCCAGGGGATGGAAAGCGATGTGGGGAGGAGGATGTAGTGCAGGGGAGTCGGGCAGAGAAGGATGCTGCTGTAATCAAGCCAGAAGAGGCAGAGGCCACAAATCTGGCCTGGTTCACACACACTCTAGAGCAGTGGTTTTTAAAGCATAAGTTAAGTGCCATCCAGGATCTCTCTCAAAACTAAACATTCTTGCCCCACTTCCTTTCCACCCCTTCCAAGGCCCCATCCCTGCTCACTCCATCCTCACTCATTTTTATCAGGCTGGGGGCAGGGGTTTGGGGTGCCAGAGGGGGTTCATGTCTGGGGCCGGGGTTTGGAATGCAGGCTCCAGCTGGGCACCACTTACCACATGTGGCTTCTGGGTGGGTGTGCAGGGGGCTAAGGCAGGCTCACCCCTACCCTGGCCCTGCACCACTCCCAAAAGCAGCCAACAAACTCTCTCCATCCTGTCCCCCTCCCCCCGCTCCATGGAGATGGGGTACAGGGTGGAAGGAGGTGCACCCCCCCCTCTTCTTCCCGTTCCCTGCACAGCAAGCAGGGGGCTCCCAGGGGCAAGGGGCACCTCCTAGGCAGAGGGCAGGAGCAGCAGGGCAGTGCTAAGAGGGGCAGATGAAGTGTCAACACTTGATAGCCTCCCAGACAAACCTCTCAGGGTCACCTGTCAAAAGCTCCAAGATGTACCAGTAGATCCCAATGGACTGGTTGGTGACCCCTGCGGGAGCTATAAAAAGCCAGACACTTCATTGACCCAAGCTCTGTGCAGACAGGACAGATAAGGTCTGAAGTGTCCTCACTGCAGTTGACTTGGGCAGTATTAGTGGCTGAGGAGGCTCCCTGCCCTCATGACTAGAGGGAGAGGCCTGAGCACATGAACCAATGTCCAGCAGAAATATCAAGGGACAAAAAAGAACAGATGGAATGTCCTTTTCCCTTAGCTTTGCATAGCCAGAGGCATCCCTCCCCTCCCACCCCTGGAAGAGAGTCCTGGCGATTGTGACCTAGGGCAGGGGACTGGGATGCAGGATTTTGGGATGTGACCTAGCGTAATAGGGGATTGTGATCTGGGGCAGCGGATTGGGGTGCCAGATTTGGGAGGCACTATGGGTGCAGGAGGGGGCAGAGGGTTTGGGTATGTGGAGGGGGGGCAGAGGGTTGGGGAAGGGAGAGGCTGAGGTGCCAGAGGCAGACTCTGGCTGGCTGGTGCTTACCAGCAGAAACCTGAGGCAGACTGACTGCTGCAGGCTGCTTGCTGCTCCATGTGGCTCTGTTCTGGGCATGAAGGGAAAGGGTAGAGGAGGTTGAGGAAGAAGGCTTCCTACACTGCCCCAGCAAAAATTCTCAGCTCCTACTAGCTGGACATTGAAAGACTGGGAGCTAAGAGATTTTGCCAGGGAGGGGGGGGAGCGGGAACAGCATGAGAAGTTTCCCTCCTCTCTCCCCAGCCCTCCAGAACGGATAACCACTGACTTTTAAAAATATGAGATGTTCTCTGCCTAAGGGTCCCGTGGGACAGATCCGGTGGCTTGGCGGGACAGATCCAGCCCACTGGCAGCCTCTTGCCCACCCCTGCTCAAGGACACTGCTGCCAATTAACATTCAAGTAGGCTGAGAGGCCAGTCCTAACTAGCCAACCTAAACTGGCAGGATTAAGAGAAGTGGTGGGACAAATTAGTAACACTCTGCAGAGCAAGTGGTCTGTCCCATGACTAGACGCTACTGTGTTCATTGGTGGCTTCCGCTAGCTAGCTCACCCACAGTAGGACTGGAGTGCAATTAAGATCCAAGATAAGTTGCCCCTCCCACACCCACTGCCATGCACTACTCACCTCCATCTCTCCTCAGGGGACAGTCGGGACAGGTCAGCCTAGGGAGGAGAAGCAACCAGTTACTCAAGTCCAAGAGCAGCCGCTAAAGCCTAGAGAAGATCATGGCTACACTTCATGTACACAGCAGTTAAAAAAAACAAAACAAAGCTCTTTTCTGTAAGAGAAACTGTCCCTGTCTAATGCTGTCACAAGTGATTTAGATTTTAAATGACAGGGAAACCACCATTTAGTGCATGCCCCATGGTAACCAGGAATGTGAATAGTTAACTGGTAAGCATCACCATTCCCAGGTGATGATTACTAGTTACAGGTAACCGGCGGGGGCAAGCAAACGCCCACCCCATGGCAGGGCCTCCTCTGCTCCCTCCATTTAATCAGTTAACCAGTTAATATATGTGGCCAACCAGTTAAGTAGTAGTTCTGCAGAAAAGGACCTGGGGGTTACAGTGGATGAGAAGCTAGATATGAGTCAACAGTGTGCCCTTGTAGCCAAGAAAGCTAATGGCATATTAGGATGCATTAAGAGGAGCATTGCCAGCAGATCCAGAGATGTCATTATTCCCCTTTATTCGGCTTTGGTGAGGCCACATCTGGAGTACTGTGTCCAGTTCTGGGCCCCCCACTACAAAAAGGATGCGGACGCATTGGAGAGGGTCCAGCGGAGGGCAACCAAAATGATTAGGGGTCTGGAGCATATGACCTACGAGGAGAGGCTGAGGGACTTGGGTCTGTTTAGTCTGCAGAAGCGAAGAGTGAGGGGGGACTTGATAGCAGCCTTCAACTTCCTGAAGGGAGGTTCCAAAGAGGATGGAGAGAGGCTGTTCTCAGTAGTGACAGATGGCAGAACAAGGAGCAATGGTCTCAAGTTGTGGTGGGAGAGGTCCAGATTGGATATTAGGAAAAACTATTTTACTAGGAGGGTAGTGAAGCATTGGAATGGGTTACCTAGGGAAGTAGTGGAGTCTCCATCCCTAGAGGTGTTTAAGTCTCGGCTTGACAAAGCCCTGGCCGGGTTGATTTAGATGGGATTGGTCCTGCCTAGAGCGGAGGGCTGGACTTGACGACCTTCTGAGGTATCTTCCAGTTCTGATTCTATGATAAGGGGATGGTTGGATGAAATAACATGATCTTGGTAACTAATTGACCATTCATTTCCAGTTGGAAATAGGTCAATGGAGGGATGATAGGAGTTGCTATAGGGAACTTTCTGGGTGTCTGGCTGGTGAGTCTTGCCCACATGCTCAGGGTTTAGCTGATCGCCATATTTGGGGTCAGGAAGGAATTTTCCTCCAGGGTAGATTGGCAGAGGCCCTGGAGGTTTTTCGCCTTCCTCTGTAGCATTGGGCACAGATCACAGCTGAAGGACTCTCTGCATGTTGGGGCCTTCAAAGTATTGGAAGGCTTCAATATCTGAGACATAGGTGAGAGGATTATTCTAAGAGGGGTGGGCGAGATTCTGTGGCCTGCACGGTGCAGGGGGTCAGACTAGATGATCATAATGGTCCCTTCTGACCTTAAAGTCTATGAGTCTATGAGTCTATAACATAATGTTTAATTGGTTAACTAATTAAAGGGGATTTTATATCCCTAGTTGGAACACTGATCAGGGCTGAAGGCAAGGCAAGACAATTAAGTTAATTGCAAAGCTGTCAGAGAGCTCAGGGAATCATCCTCGTACAGCATGCTTTGAAAACGAAGACATTCAGAGGAATAAAACCCATGTTCTATTCATCTTGACAAGTCACCTGATCAATCATCCTCCCTCCCTTAGTTAGCAAACTAGGACTTACACCTCTGCCCTATACTCTGAGCATGTCTGGAAGATATAAAGAATCTGCAGCACTCCTCACAATGGTTAGATCACCCAGGTGCCTCGTAAGGTACCACACACGATGCTGAGCAGTGAAATATGCATCTTGGCATCTCACCTAGATTAGGGATATCAATGTGTAATTGACTACACGATTAACCAACAGGCCTGGGCTTATTGGTTAATCTCGTCAGCTGCACACACTCCCCCTTTGCTGTCTCTGATACAGAGGCAGCAAGGGGAGAGGAGTGGGAGCTGTGCCTGTGAGGAGCTGGCTTTCAGCAGGCTCCCCATGAGCACCAGATCTGCCTCTCCTCCCCCACCCTGCGCTGCTGTCTCTGAGAGGGTGAGGGGTGTAGGCTGGAGCCAATAGGAACAGGAAGCCAGCTTTGAAGCAGATTCCCTGCGTGTGCCTGCTCTGCAGACCTGCCTCCTACAGAGGTGGGGGGGGGGCTGGCAGGAGCTGGTGCTGGGGGAAGCCGGCTTAAAAACCTGTTCCCACCAGCTCCACAGTGCTGCCTGCCCCTCTCACTGGCAGCAGTGCGGGGGAGAGGAGCAGGGGAGTCTGCTGCAAAGCAGCCCCTGTCCACAGGGGGTCTGAGCTCCCCACAGACAGAGGCTGGTCTGTGGCAGTGGCTCCTGTCAGCAGCATGTGGTGGCAGTTAGGAGCCGGTCCATGGAGTGGAGCCAAGAGCGCACCAGCTGCCAGCTCTGCCACTGGGGATTACTGAATAGTCGTGTAACTGCTAAAATTTCCTGCGGTTACATGACTATTCAATTACACAATGTCTAACATCCCTAACCTACATACACAACTTAAGACAGTTCGCAGTCACTGCTCAGTTACGTACAGCCAAATAACCCCAAGGGAGTTGATGATTCATAACTAAGGGGCAGAAGGGACCAATATGACCATCCAGGCCAAACTCCTACATAACAAACGGTGCAGAATTTAACCCAGAATTTAATTCCTGCAATAAACCCATCATTCCTGGCCATCTTTTGGGAAACATTCAAGCTCGAAAGTGGCGAGGAGTCCTGCATGCATCTGACGAAGTGGGTCTTTGCCCACGAAAGCTTATGCTCCAACACTTCGGTTAGTCTATAAGGTGCCTCAGGACACCTCGCTGCTTTTACAGATTCAGACTAACATGGCTACCCCTCTGATATTCAATCTCGAGTTAGACATCAGAGGATTGAGAATCGATCACGTCCTTTAAGAACTCATTCTAATGGTTAATTATCCTCAAGGATTAAAAAAAAGCTTTATTTCTAGTCTGAGTTTGTCTGGTTTCAGTTTCCAGCCCCTGGATCACCTTATGCCTTTGCTTGCTAGATTAAAGAGGTCTCTGCAACCAGAAGTCTCCTCCCCACGTAGGTACACTTGGTCAGAGGGCATATTTTCCCCTTATGATAACACAAACACTGACGTGGCAAGGAGAGTGTCACTTTGGATGTGGGTAATGAAATCCCATAGATCCGCCTTCATCTCAGCTCATCCTTAACCGTATTTACATTACAAAGAGGAAAAACCAACACAAGCAGGTTGCTTGGGGCCCAGACCAACAGACAGGCACACAACTGTTTAGACATGCCAGCTGTTTGAGTGCATGACAGCACACTATTAACATCAAGGAGTCAATGAGATACCTGAATTGGCCCTGGGCTTTTTCCTCATATCCTAGGATCTGTAAACTGCCAGCTGATTTGGTTCTGAGTGACATACAGATGAAATGTGTTGAGCCACAGTAGTTCAGTGTGAAGACTGGATGCATGGGGGTGGCACTGTTAGTATGCTCCTTTATTCCCCCACAAGATCACCAGACGAGCAACATTTCAAGCTCAGCTTTAACCTTTAATCTTTTCATACAACGCCCTCAGATTCCTCTGTGCATTACTGTTGACTTCCCTCAATAAACCTGCCTTCAGACAAGATACAGAGCAGAGTGCTCAACCACTTGTGACCATTAAAGAGCTTGCTGACCCTCTATCAAATATGTCTTGACTAAATGCCATCTTGGCTAAAATTCTGATTCCTCTGTAGTTTCTGCTAATAAGGGTTTCCCCTCTTCCTGGTCCTATGCTGTTGCATAGTGTGCCTGTGCATTGTTAATTCCAGAATGGTGGAATTCCAAGAGATTTGGACCTGAAAGCATCTGGAAAGCACTTTGATAAACGCATAACACACCATAAGAAAAGCAAACCCTAAACCTTAAATAAAGTGAAGAAAATGAGCAGGAGCAGGAGAGATGTATTCAGATCAATGCAACTCTCAATGCTACTTGTCCTGATGATGGGATACTATTTTCTTGAATCGTAAGAGGAAGCCACAGGATTTGGATTTGACAATTAGTGTAGTAAGGCTCTCTCAAAGTTAACCCCCGCTACAAGAGAAGAATCACTACTGAATAGGGATGTAATAGCGTAGTCGATTAACTGATAAGCAAAAGCTTACAGGTTAATGCTATAAACTACATGCATTTCCCTCCCCCTCCTTGCCAGTACGTTTTTTAGCAGGCTGGCCAGGTGCCCGGCCCAGTTCTGGGTTGCGACAGGTCCGGGACCGTCCCCTGCTGTGGATCTGCAGTTAAAATGTATTAGGAGGCAGGCAGGCAGGCAGCCCAGCTCAGTTCTAGCTCTCGCTGGGTCCAGGAGGTCAAATCCCTCCTAGACAGAGGCTGCTGCCACCCTGCGCTGCTGCTTCTTTATGTGAGATTTTTAAACGAGGTCCCCTCGAGGACCAGCTCCTGCCTGGCACCCCGCGCTGCTGCCTGCTGATACTGAGGCAGCAGTGAGGTATGGCAGGGGGCTCCTCGGGAGTGAGGCTGGAGTGCACTGGCTGCTGACCCCATCCCCAGGGACTACAGAATAGTCAACTAACCGCTAAGAATTCATGCGGTTACTCGACTATTCAATTAACCGATACTGAACATCCTTACTACTGAACCCCGCCCTCCCCAGGCTCCCATGTGCAAACATCCCAAGATGAGAGGGGGCAAGCGGTTTCTCACAGAGCAGTAGTTCTCAAAATGGGGTCCACAACTGTCTTTCAGGTCGGCCGTGGGCTTGGGTTCACGCACACCCCCACAGTGGGGAGCCTGCACTGGCGCTCCAGCCCCTCGGTCCTACACCCCGGCAAGGCTGGAGTGCCAGCTTCCCGCAGCAAGGAGGGGGAGAGCCTCATGGATGGATCTGGCTTGTGGGGAAAGGAAGCTGCTCCCCCAGCTG